GCTGGTTTTCAATGCTTCTCTAACTCATTGATATCAATCCGTAATCAACTCGTAAAAGCATAACTAACCTTTGCAAACCAAACTATAGAAAAAATTAATCTGATGCTCGCTAGTGAGTGATTTGCTACAGGATAGAGTTTCCTGGAGTCAGTCAGTTCTAGTGAGAAGTCGTGACCAGTGAGGTGGTGGTCCATCCAGATGTTGTCACATGTGAGGATGGATGGATGTCCCACCGACGACATTGGTTGGTACCAGCCAGTCGCGCTAAATCATGAATTGATAGAAGTTAGAATCCATGCACTGACCATTGAATTGGATCCCAGAGAGTGCCTGAATGGTATACGAGCCTGCTAGCTTGCCTTGTAATCAGAAGGTCCTGGGTTCGAACCTCGGTGCAGTGGTGGGTGCGTACTGCCGATGATTCTCAAACTAGGCTGATGAAACAGCTGTCCAGTACTCCCTGTGGCTGGCTTTCCGAGAAGTTCAAGAATAGCATCCCAGGAGTGCGAACGCTCAAATGACCTTGAACGCTTGCTAGTCGTTGGTTGAGGAAACCTACCATTATTCTAGCGCGAAGATGAACGCTGTTCATCTGCTTAGATGCAAATTTCACCCAGATCATGTATTTCAGTACTGCCTAGATAATGAATTAATAGGACGTACTCGGATATTCAGTTTTGATGTTTCTATGAACCTGCAGCCATATACCCAGGTCATTGATGGATATATATTTAGATGTGCACAGAGTAGGAAACGAATAAGTGTTCGTACTGGTAAGTGACACTCTCAGTTAATTGTCTTCTAGGTACTTTCTTTGGAAAATCGAAATTTTCGTTGATCAATATCCTGTTTCTGTGCCATTACTGGATTTTAAAGTCCGGGGTGAGATCAACTGCGGCTCAGACAGAAAATATGTTGACGTCTACTGTGCAGTGGTTCCAGTTTTGTCGAGATTTAGCGTCGTAGAAAATGAATAGTATTACTCAAGTGATGGTAGGAGTCCTTGTGGTCGTTCATTTCGATGAAACGGTTCTTATAAAGAAGAAGTACAATCGTGTACGTGCTAGAGTTAACAATGTTTGGGTTCTGGGAATTTACGACACCCAGATTCAGAAAGGATTTATCGAACTTATTCCAGATAGGAGTGCTGGCTGGTACACTCCTCCCTATTATTCAGAGACTCATCTTGCCAGGCACTACCATTCACACGGATGAATGGACAGGATATAACCGATTATCGGATTTGGGATATATACTTCATCGAGTTAACCATTCGGATGATTTCGTCGATCCCAGAACCAGTACTCATACCAATTCAATCGAAGATTTCTCGGGAAGACTAAAAAATAGAATCAGAGCTACCAACGGATCTCAAAACCAAGTTATTTTCAGTCATTTGGATGAATATATGTATAGAAATTGGTTTAATTTAAAAACTAAAACTCCTCATTATAATCGGGACATCTTTTTATCTCATATTAGACAAAAATACCCTGTTTAATGTTTTTTTTTCATGCTTTTTGATGTAATTACACGTAAAATTTTATGCAAAAATCCTCCCATTTTGTGATTGGTCGGCTCAAGGTCACTCGTGCGTTCACATCCCTTGTGACGCTACTGTGGAATTGTGCCTGGTTTTCAATGCTTCTCTAACTGACCGATATCATTCCGTGTTCTATAAATCTATTTCTTTTTCGGCGTCTTTGTTGGTCAATAGTATCTTAGTAGAGGTTCTTTACCTGTTGTTATTGGCTTTGTGGCCATCTCTGTTCTTCAGTAAGGAGTAGTTGAAGTTAGCTGTTGACAGAAATCTGAAGCCTCTTTGATGAAAATGCGCTTGGGGCTGATGCACACTAAGTCGCTGAACACCACCATGTACTTGAACTTACTTTACTTTACTTCGGCTATCTCCTACGGAAGGATGAGCCGGCTTCATGAACATCTCGAATCATCGCTGCCCAGGCGCGGCGATCTGATGAAGAGAGTTCATGAAGTTTCATGGGAATTTGGTACGAGTGATGTCCCCAGAATCGCTCGGCCGCCTTTTGTTTGAGAGTGCAGCTCTAGCCTTTACACAACCAAGTGTGACCTGCAAGGCAGTAGGAGTGGAGTAGGGAGTCCACTATCCATTGCAGCCGGTGACCGGAGTTCGGTTCATACGCCTTTTTGAATGGGGCCAGACATCCAGGACATCCAACAAGCCCTTTGTCCATACGTGTGCCGGTGAGCTCCAGTGAGCTTCATACGCCAGTCGTTGGAGATTTGGAGTCAGGGTTTCGCCATCTCCCGTAGACTGTCATCCAATGGACAGTCAACCCGGTGAAGAGCGCCGGACATCCGCTTTCGCCCTCTCACTTTGGTGAAAAACACCTTCACCACGTGAAGGCAGTGAGTAGGACTTCTTCAGGAGAGGCTATGTAAGACGCCCAGTCATATGGGAGTATTTCAAGAGGTGTGAGGAGGGGTGGCCAATCCGCAGCGCAAGGCACCCACCCCCGACCATCCTGAGGCTTTGGACATCATGTAGTGATTTGACCTGAGTGCTAAAAAAAGTGCGAATCTAGTTCTTTGTGATGATGATTTGAGATAAACGGAGGTGTCTGTTTTGTTTTCTTTTCATGCTCATCAACTGTACTTGAAATGACGCTTGCTGCTTGAATAAGTGGAAATCACGCTAACACATTCCATACCCCTGTGCTTATTTTTTATTTCCTTCACCGCGAAGGGAAACACACATCGCTTGACTGTCTTCCCGAAATCTTTCATCAGCCTGTGTCATTTTGCCTATCCAATTCTAGAGAAGATAAATAAATAAATAAGTTAGTTCTGAATATTTTTCGTGTGTGTGTCTTAAAGTTTCTATAGCGATTCTAGTTGATTTTCTGCCAGTAAAGTTGTAAATTACTCTCTACCGATTTTGGCTAGCGCAGACAGCTCTCACTACACTCGCCCCGCCCCCCGCGTCAAAGACTTGCAACTGAAGTTGGTTTAGGTCTTCTTGGTTCTAGGGGCTTTGTTCGTTTGTCATGCTGCCTGGAATCTCGACACTCGCTGATGTTCACCTGTTTCTCTTTGCTTGCCATTGCGATTGTGTCTGCGTAACCTCATCATCTCAAAGTGACCATGTGTGGTCCATTCCACTGTGGAAACTGTTTGACTGAGACTGTCGCACATTCGTCGGTATTTCGCCTCACACTTTCATATACTGCTCTCTCCCGACCTCCCAGCAGCGTCCCAAGTAACAGCCTCATCACTAACAAATCTTGAACGCCACTGAACTGCGCAGGAGCCTCGAATTCCTGCCCGAAGATCCATCCATATGTCTCCATCAAAAACTGCAGGGCATAGGCTTTCCATTTGTCAGTAGGCAGCGATACCAAATGTAACAAGAGAAGACAAGGGCCAGGCAACAGATCCTTTATTAAGAAAATCAACACATATTTATCGATTTTCATGTACATACATGATTATAGATTATTGTTAGCAGACAAACACAGTCTTCTGATTGATGTTTCTTTCTCACTGAAAGTTAGTTAATCTTTCATCTCTTTGTGGCTGTTTCTTGAAGGTCAGATCATTTGCTATCTGCTAATTGTATCCGCCTACACAAACAAAGTGTGCTGTGATTAGTTGGTTGTTGGTTGAGTCAGTCTTCGTTCTTGTTTTTGTTCTCTCATGACCAATATTTGAGACATAAACTGAAATTAACGACTTAGGAATCGACCTGTTACCAGGGAATAGTCTTATGGAGTTAGAATATGCAGATGACATAGTCCTGTTAGGGGAGGATACTGACAAAATGCAGAGTCTTCTGAACACCTTGAGAAGCAATCTTCGTATGTTTGGCATGCGATTCGCCCCTGTGAAATGTAAGATGCTGCTACAGGATTGGACTACGTCTACCCCTAGCTTAGTGATAGGGAGTGAAGTGGTAGAATATGTTGACCACTTCACCTTTTTGGGAAGTTGTATCAGTACCAACAGATTGATTGGTGACGAAATCTCAGCACGGATCTAAAAAGCTCGGGCTGCTTTCGCTAACTTACACCGTCCCTGGCGTAGGCGTGACATCCGGCTATCAACCAAGGGACGTGTGTACTGCTCACCAGTTCGCTCCGTCCTTCTCTATGGCTGGCTCTGAAACATGGCCAATACGAGTTGAAGACATGAAAAGGTTGACTGTTTTTGATCATAGATGTCTACGATCTCTTTCTCACGTTAGGAGGTGGTATAATAAGGTAAGTAATGTTGACATTAGGCGTAGAGTGTTGGGCAAAGAGGGAAAATCAATCGACGAGGCTATAAAGTTACATAGATTGAGATGGCTAGGTGACGTGCTGCGCATGCCTAACCATCGCCTCCCCCTCCCGACGGGCATTACTAGCTGATATATAGGTGCATGTTGGAAAAGAGTAAGTGGTGCCACGCCAAACAAAAACATGGCCTCATCAATCCATGAAATCCTTGACAGTTAAACTGAGTCAGGTAGGAAGGAAGATGCAGACTTCCGGGTTGGGGCCCGCCCTCGGGACTCTAAGAATCAATGGCTGGAGACAGACAATAGGTGACATGGCTCAAAATCGTTGTCAATGGCTTACGCAGATGTATTCAGTCTCTGTAATATTCAGTCTCATATTCCTTTCTACCATTATTCATTCTGTTTCACTCTTATACTTGTCAAAACTCTATTGATTCTCTTCACTCATCCATCTTCTTGTCTACCTTTGTGTGGTATTTGGAACGTGGCAACTCGAACTGCTGTTGCACTTCGGTGCCAAGTTCTATGTTGAATCCACTCAGTTAGTCACATAAACATTGACGTAAATTACTGTCTACCCCAATTTTTGGCTAGCTCAGACAGCTCACATCACAATAACGTCTAGTATCTCGGAATTGTAGTTTTTTCTTTATTGGTTAAATATGTACATACAATTAGATTCTCCACTTTCACTTCTAATATGCGTTTGTTTTGGTGTTTTTCCTCTTGTCTTCTATTTCAGATTGACATGCTTCTAAAGGGTAAATAACTAACAAGAAGAATCGATTCCTACATATATATATATACATTGCCTAATTGTCTGTGATAGCGAACACCCACTAAGTCAGTCAGTCAGTCAGTAATATATCTATAATATAGGGTTTTTTTCAAATACCTCTCAACACATTATATTCCATATAGAGTGAGTGAAGTTGTTGTCTTTCAAAAAAAAATTATATTCTCGTTTTTAAACTTTAATTTACTATGAAATAAATCAGAAAGTATTTTTCTCTCCCTCTGTCTCTCTTCTGGTGGATGCTTCTATAGAAGTTTTCTATTAATCTCTATGTATGTATGTGTGTATGTAGGTACCCCTATGTCAGCAGCGAACTCACTTCATGTATCTATCTATCATCCACCTGCCTATTTTCGTGTTAATCTTGATTATTATTTTCACATAATTCACTTGTGATTTTTTGTCAAGTTTCTGTGCTTGTTTGTTTATTTGTTTAAACAAGCAAATGCATATTTTATTTCTCCTCTTTTTTAATATTTTTAAATTTATTCTAAAATAAAGTAAAGTGTGTAAGTATATACAAATTGCTCAACAAACTTTATATTTTTTATAATAAGGCTTGTTAATATGGATCCCAACCGCCAGCCAGCCAGCCTCAGCAATATTTAGTAGTCGAACTGTTAAGGCGAAATTGAGATTTGTTAGTTGGTGTATGCGGTAAATGACTCTGAAAGCCGCCTTGTTAACATCAATCAGTTTTGTGTTCTGTATCCAGAAGGAGAGAAGTGAGATAGAATAGCGCTGCGAATAGATGGATTTTGTTTTTCCTTTACTTCACCAATCACTGTGCAGATTGATGTTTGGAAATTCGACGAGAAACGCGCCTAATTGTGTACGGCCTATACAAGTAACTGGCTCACTCCACAGCATGAGCAGTTAACTTGGTAGATACACACACGTGGAAGAGGAGAAATTAGGCAGTTTGTCTTTTACTCCCGAACTAACGCAAAATAAGGTGGTGGTGGTGGTTTTGAAGACACAGCGTAATTCGACAGCAGCAGGGAATGCTGTTCGTTTCGCCGCATTTCAAGGCACAGCTATGTCAGTATCCCGCTGATTTTGTCCCCAAGGAACTCCATTTGTAAGAATAAGGCCTTCCTTTTTAGGAATTGTTGGTAACTTTGGCTGCCTTGATTTTGTAATATTAATAGTAATAATAATATATTCTCATTGTTTTGTACATGAGGGACACCAGTTTCCAGGTACCATCAGTATGATAAATTACACATACGATTAGTAAGCATAGTTAGTAATGATAATATAATAAGGTAGATATATTTATTCCCACCTATGTAGGACACACCAGTTATATACAAGCATGGATAAGTATTATTTAAATTACATGAATTACGGTTAAATTACATGGATGCTGTCTATCTTGTCTTTATTTTGTGGGAAAAATTTGATAATCGTGGAAAATACCCATTGGAACATTAGATTGAGAAGAATAAGAAGTTCAGCAAAGATATCTGCCATCTTTCCGGCGATTTCATTTTCAAAAGTAGCTGTACAATCGCATTTAAATACATAATTTTACATGGAGACAATTCTTGTTTGATTCTACATAATTATGACGGCGAATAAAAGGTGATAATTATTTCCAACTGGATGGATGGTTTTACGAGAGGCTTAGAAACAAAATTACACAGGATTAGAATGGATATGAGCATCGAAACAAAATTGAAATAATAATTTTCAACTCTAGATGGGAATCAGGAGGTGCGAATATAGATTACAAGAGCCTTAGAAACAAAATTACATGGGATTTAGCAAATTACAGGTGTGCAGAAAATGAGCATGGAAACAAAAATTGAGATAATAATTTTCAACTTAAAATGGAAGTTAGGAGGTGTGAATATAGATTACAAGAGCCTTAGAAACACAAAACAATTGCACAGGATTTAGATATAATTGTAAATTTTTTTAAACGGACTATAAATGTGAACAGGAAAAGCATGGGAACAAACTTAAAATAACTGTGTTTTTTTATAACTGGAAAAAAAATGTGGTGAATCGAATGAAGACTGAGGGAGTAAGAATCACACACACATAGCGAACGAAAAGGGATAAAAAAATAAAAACAAAAACGGAAGCTACGGTAACATACCGAACTAAGTCCATGGTAGTTGTAGTGGTTGGACTAATATCTTTTGGACACACACAGCTCTGGCTTCTCGATGCATATTGCGAGGGCTTCTGCAGTACAGAGAAGTCGGAAACAAACTGCTTTCCGTAGGTTTCTGTTGACTTTGTAAATTATTTACTTTGAAAGAATCAGTTGAGATGTTGTGGTATTCAATTCGCACAAGAAGGTTCTTACGATCTGTGTAACCAAACTTGCACAGTGACAATTCAAGCCTTTAAATCAACACTCCGTGAAAACTTCTTCACAGTCATGTATTCTAAAATATGGAATAGCCTGCTCCTACATATCAGGACTTGCTCTTCAGCTATAAGTTTCAAACGCTCTCTGTACAGACTGCTTCACTCTACTGATTATATAAATAAACTATTTACTCCTAGAACGAATCAAATATTAGTTTACTAAAGTGCCTAAACAACACGCTTAAATACCTTTACTACTCTAAAAACTATAAATAAACTAGTCGCATAGATGCATAAAAAGACTTAGTAGAAATAAATACTTGTTCACTAAATTACAATGTGCAACGAATATAAACAAATATGTCCCACTCCACATACTTTTTCTCTACCCTCTGGTTCTTTGATGCTCGCCTCTTCCGTTGTATTTGCCTTGTAGTAGAAGTTGCATTGATCTACATCCAGACTGAAGCTGAGAAAACACTTAAATCACTTAATAATAATAATAATATATTCTAATTTTTGTACATGAGAGACGTCAGTTCACAGGCATCATCAAATCGATAAATTACACATACGATTAGTAAGCATAGTTAGTAATGATAATATAATAAGGTACATATATTTATTCCTACCTATGTAGGACACACCAGTTGTACAGGCATGGATAAGTGTTATTTAAATTACATATTTAAATTACATGAATTACGGTTAAATTATATGGTCGCTGTCTATCTTGTCTTTAGTTTATGGGAAAAATTTGATAACTAGTGATTCAATGGACCACATCAAGAAATATAGAGATATTAAAAAGACAATTGCAGCGGGGAAGAAAATTTTCTTTTCGACGAAATCATCAACGACAAGGCTGTACATTCGTGTATTTATATCAAATGGATGGGAAAGTTCCAGAATAATTTCCGGTTAAGTGTCAAATTATTAAAAATTACAATTAGGAATCAAAATGCCATACTTAACAGGGGGACGGATAAAACTCAAACAAAGTAGCATTTTAATGACTAAGAAGATTGACATTGTGCAATTGAGGGTTAGAAATGTAGAAATAACAAAAATAGATAGACAGGATGTTTGGATAAAAAACTAATGTGACGAATAATTGTTTATGCAATCAGCCATTAAATATGTAGAAATAATAATATGACAAAATAAACAGGAAGGGTGGATATGAAAATATGGTAGTGTAGACAGGGATTAAGAAAAACTTAAAATAACATGAATAAACAGGAAGTTTAGATAAGAAGGGCGATGAGATTGTCATTAATAAAAAATTCTTTTACCTGTTTATGATGGCCATGGCAGGGACAGGGGTTGGATGTAATTCTTTTGGATACAAAGCGTGGGTTTGAGCTTTTGCATAGCTAGCGTCTCAGCTATGCCCAGATGTCTTAATTTCACTCCCTTCGATAGGTTTGATTGAATTTTGTATATTACTTTGAAGGATTTTTCGAAAGGCGCTGAATATCCTGAGTTTTGGTGTTTTTCCTCTTGTCTTTTGTTTCAGATTGACATGCTTCTTAAGGGTAAATGATAATAACAAGAAGAATCGATTCCTAATTGTCTGTGATAGCGAACACCCACTAAGTCAGTCAGTCAGTCAGTAATATATCTATAATATAGGGTTTTTTTCAAATACCTCTCAACACATTATATTCCATATAGAGTGAGTGAAGTTGTTGTCTTTCAAAAAAAAATTATATTCTCGTTTTTAAACTTTTATTTACTATGAAATAAATCAGAAAGTATTTTTCTCTCCCTCTGTCTCTCTTCTGGTGGATGCTTCTATAGAAGTTTTCTATTAATCTCTATGTATGTATGTGTGTATGTAGGTACCCCTATGTCAGCAGCGAACTCACTTCATGTATCTATCTATCATCCACCTGCCTATTTTCGTGTTAATCTTGATTATTATTTTCACATAATTCACTTGTGATTTTTTTGCCAAGTTTCTGTGTTTTTGTTTGTTTCTTTGTTTGTTTAAACCAGCAAATGCATATTTTATTTCTCCTCTTTTTTAATATTTTTAAATTTATTCTAAAATAAAGTAAAGTGTAAGTATATACAAATTGCTCAACAAATTTTATATTTTTAATAATAAGTCTTGTTAATATGCATCCCAACCGCCAGCCAGCCAGCCAGCCTCAGCAATATTTAGTAGTCGAACTGTTAAGGCGAAATTGAGATTTGTTAGTTGGTGTATGCGGTAAATGACCCTGAAAGCCGCCTTGTTAACATCAATCAGTCTTGTGTTGTGTATCCACAAGATGAGTGAGATAGAATAACGCTGCGGATAGATGGATTTTTTTGTCCTTTACTTCACCAACCACTGTGGAGGGTGAGTGATGTTGGGAAATTCGACGAGAAACACGCCAAATTGTGTACGGCCTATACAAGTAACTGGCTCACTCCACAGCATGAGCAGTTAACTTGGTAGATACACACACATGGAAGAGGCGAAATTAGGCAGTTTGTCTTTTACTCCTGAATGCAAAATAAGGCGGTGGTGGTTTTGAAGATACAGTGTAATTCGACAGCGGGGAATGCTGTTCGTTTTGCCGCATTTATAAGGCACAGCTGCGTCAGTATCCCGCTGATGATGTCCCTAAGGAACTCCATTTGTAAGAATAAGGCCT